TCAAATGAATGGTACAATTGGTTAGATATCTAGACAAAAAAAAGACAATTATCCACAACACAATTAATCGACCACTACTGTGACTGCAATGGTATGGGTATCTGCTTCGAATATTCAATCAAACGTCTGTAACCATAACTAGATAGTATATTGTATACAGCTGGTTAGAGATAGATTTCACAAGGCCATCGTATATTTTAGACGCTCGGAGGCACAAAACAAGTCACTTGCAATGGTCCAAGGAAACATATAGGGGCCCAACTACACGTTGAAATATATTATTTTTGCAGAGGAGTGTGCTTCACTATTCAGTCAGATAACAAGCCCATACTCGCTTGAACCAGAACCAGTTCATACAGGAACGTGACACATATGGCAGTGTTGAGGGTAGAAATATGCATTCTTACGATTGATATCACACATATTATAGAGGCCAGAGCTCACGACACTTTGTATTGCCATATGCTGGTGCAATTGACTCTAACTTCGATCTAATAAGTGACCACACCACACCCCATCCTCATCTTGCTAAACTGATAGAAGCGTTCTCTGAAGAAGAAGAGATTGACCAAATGCCTGCTCACCAGTCATTAATCTTATCAAGAATTTGAGGATGTTCCTTGGAGAAGCGTTGCATCCTGTTGAGTAGAAACAGCTATTTGAGGATGTTCCTTGGAGAAGCGTTGCATCCTGTTGAGTAGAAACAGCCATTTGAGGATGTTCCTTGGAGAAGCGTTGCATCCTGTTGAGTAGAAACAGCTCTTTCAGATGAGTGATCGAGGATATTTTATCAACTCTATCAAGCTCTATCAATACTTTAATCTTAAGAATGCACCTTCGGTTGTTATTTGTAATGAGCTTGTTTCATGATGAAGTGTTTTAAACTTCAACAATAGAAAGCCATTTTTTTTCTTCTATAATATTGTTATAATAATAAAAATCGTTATGGTTTTAATCAATGAAAAATGTCCATGTTAACTCAGTTTTCATTTTTATTTTACTATTAATAGCCAAACTTGACATTTTTGTTTTTAGGAATATCAGTACAACAAATTTCTGATTCTTTTTCAGACGTAATAATCTGAAAGAATTTTCCTTTTAGTTTTTCCGCTCTCTTTACTTTTTGCATGTCACAAACTGAAACAAAAGAATTTATGTTTTGTGGTTCAAAATCATACTTCTTTTGCATCTTATCTTGCTATAATAAAAGCCAAGAGCAAAATTATTCAAAAGTAAGGTGTGTAAGTGAACGAGAATTACACTATTAAACTGAGGCCTTAGCGAATGTAATAAACTCTATTATTGTAATTAACTTGTGTGGGGATATATATGTATATATTGTGAGGATGGTCATTACTGGGAGATCTTTAACGTTTCTTTAAGACGTCATTCCACTTGTTATTATATTAATAAAGCTTATAAAGCTACAATTCAAAAATCAATCTCTGCGTCAGTCATAATATAGATAGCTCAGTGTGTGTAGCTTTGTGCTAAAAGAAGCAAAATTTTGAATTAACTTGACTTTGATAGGTGCTTGAAAAATAAATTTTAGATCCAGTATTTTAATTATTTGAATTTTATTGACAAGAAGGTCCTAATTTCGCAATAAGATTAATAAATTTTCACTCTACGCTCATTATTTGGAATTTTAGCCTTTTAGCTTAACAACCAATAACACTTGAAATACATTTATTGATTTTTAAAACAGTTTGAGCTAGTAATAGGAAACAAAATGCATTTTCTCACTGGCTTTTTGACAACTAACGAATCAACACCATTTGAGATTTAATTTGGAGGAAGGGGATTCTTGCGGTGGTGCAAGGTTCCCCAGTGTTGTAGCTAAATTAGCTATTAATTTCTCCCTACCACAACAAGTTTAAGAATATGTCGTTATTCAGGTTGTTACGCATTACAATTTCAAATAGCGTTAAAATGAGTTAAATTGTACTTTGCATTTAATATTTAAATAAATACCGATATATATCCACTTTATGATATTTACCAACAAGATTGATACACACAGTCTTCTTTTTTAATACAAACAATAATACAATTTACAATAACGGTTATTACAAATGGTTATTACAAACAATGATTTATATTCAAAAGTTTTAC